GGGAGGCACGGGACCCCGCCATCTCTCCCCCTTGTCCCCAGATCCCTTGGGATCTCTGCCACCTCCTACCCTGCAGGAGATGGGAACAAGCCCATCACACGTGCTCGTGGCAAAAGCCACCGCCAGCCTCAGCCCTGGCCTTCACTGGCCATTGGTCACGGCAGGCTGGAGGTCGCAGCCTTCCCCTGCAAAACCACAAGAGTGTCCTTCCCGCATTGACATGCACATGGGCAAGGAGGAGGAGGATGGAGCGTCCTCTTCCATGGCTGTTTCCTTGCAGGTTATTGGGTCAACAGATCAAAACCCATTTGCTCTCTGAAGCCCATGTCCTGGTCCAGCTGCTCTGGAGGTGCTTTGGGGTGATGCTTCCTCCAGGGAAGGCACAGGGCTGTCACACTGTGCTGCACGGGGACAGCAGAGACGAGGCAGGGCCGGGAGCAGCACCCTGCAGGGAGGTGCCCTGACCACGGCAGCAGGCACCCTCTGGCAGGTTGAGCCCGTGTGTCCAAAGCAGGGCTAGGTCAAATCTGGCTGTGGGGACACCAGGGACATTAAGGACCAGGCATAAAGGGAACGGCATCTTCCCAAAGCCTGGCACAATATCTGGAGGGTTCCAGAGGGACCCAGGGTGAGGACAGCTTGATTAAATGTCCCCATGATGCTCCCTGGTGGCAACAGGGAAGGGTGCAGCTGGGCCATGGTTGGAGAACCCCAAACTGGTTTGTCTTCCCAGTTTACTGGGGCCTGGAGGGAGTCACTGGGATTTGGGGATGGTCCTTAGCCCCTCCAATCCATCAAACTCTCCAGGGAGGGGGACAAAGCACGGAGGCTCCCGAACAACGGTGCCTGGATTAGAGAGGGATGTGGGGTGGGCCTGGACATCTGCCCCATTAAGGGAGCAGATCCCATTTGCTTCAGAGCATCCTGGGAAGGGACAGCCCTCCACAAACCCCTCGGACATGGCAGGGTACAGGCAGCCCTTGTGGTGCCAGCCGGCCTTGGGGACCTCCTTGGGATGTCGGCTGCTCCATTCGAAATGTGGCTGGTCCCCAGTGCCTCCAGGGCTGGGACGGGTCTGGCTGCAGGACATCATGCTGGTCCCCATCTGCTGTGATGCTTTCAGCCAAACAAGCTGTTGGCTGCTCTGGTTGCGGTGGGGTGGAGCATGGCAGTGTCCTGCAGGGACTCTGCATGAGGTGGGGAGGAGGTTGGAGGGTGCAGATAGGAGGGGATGAGGAGAGCAGAGGGAAAGGAGGCAGGTGAGTGTGCAAGTGAAAGCATCTAAGGCAAGGAAAGGAGGGGTGTGAGAAAATTAGGGAGGAGCTGGGAGGGGAAGTGGAGACACCAGCCCCCAGTGCTGATCCTGCAGAAGGGACTGGAGGCTGGAGAGGAGCAATGGCCTTGGGGACACCTAAGGTGGCCTTAGTCCTTGACGCAGGTAAGGGGACCCAAGGGGATGCTGAAAGTCAAGTGAGACTAGAAGTGTGTGCTTGGGGTGTAACCAGCCAATGGCGCGGTGCACCCTGGCAGGGGTTTCGGTGCCTTGAAGTCTTTACACCAGGGCTAGACACCTTCCTGGGGACCAGTGGCTACTGGGCTAACTGGGACACTGGGCGCTGCCTGGGACTGCGGGCATGGTGATGAGCAAAGTGGGGCTCTGGGTAGTTGTGTTTGCCCCTGCGCAGTGAAGCGCAAACACCTGAGCTCCCTGCTGATACTAAATGATAAATTTGCCCTCAGTGCTGGTGGAGCCCCGGGGCTGAGCTGTTTCCTCCCCCTCCTCTTGCAGAGCCTCCCGGCTCCCTGCTTGCTGGCCCAAGGGTTGCCTCAGCTCGGTGACAGAAGCAGTCAGGTGTGTGGTTGCATCTCCCAGGTGCAACCCCCATGTGTAAATGTCCTGAATAAAATAGCAAAGGTGGCTTGCAACATTTATGGGCTTTCTGAGCACCTGGCTTTTCATGCAGAAGGGAAAACCCAAGCTGCTCTTTGCAGCCTTTCCCTGCTCCAGAGTGGGACCAGGCAGGGCAGGTGGTGACAGAGCCTTATTGGCATCCCCAGCTGCTGTCCCCAACTCTTGGTAGAGGTGACCCCCAGCAGGCTGAGGACAGCAGGGCTGGCACGGGCTCAGCCCCAGCAGGCTCTCTGCCTGCTCGTCCTAGGTAAGCTCCTGCTGGCAGCCCCAGAGGTAGAGCAGGGTTGAAAAAAACAAACAGCAAAGGCAGAGCAATGCCCCATGTTTGGCATTGCTTCTGGGTGCTGGAGACACGGGAGGTGACTAATGCGGTGCCAAGGTGTGTGAGTGCTTCTGCCAGCCTGTCACGTCCTGTCCCGGCCGGCCCCAGTTGCAGCTGCTGATTTGGAGGGTACTGCCCACCTCGTGCTGTGGCTGCGATGTGCGATGGCCCCACGGATAGCTCTGCAGGCACCACTGCAGCTGAGGGCAGCGGGTGGTGCCACTCCATGATGGTTTTCCACCTGCAGTGCTGTCCCTGGGCTGGAGGGGACACGGAGCTGGCACTGAGCTCCCTGACTCAGCTCCCGGTGAGGCACTGGGCAAAATCGGGGCATCTCTGCATGGGTTTATCTATTTCTCTCCCCCTGACAGCTCAGAGGAGAATTATCCCATCACAGCCCCAAAATAACACCCCGAAGAGGCTGTTGGTGCTGGGTGTTTGCATCCATGAGTCCTGCCTGCATCCGGCAGCTCCTGATCCCAGTGGGCAGGTTGCAGGTCTAGGCACCCACTGTGCTGCTCCATGAGCCGATGCTGGGGGATCCAGTGGTGGGTGAACCTGTTGCTCGCCCTGACTGATCACAGAATCAGAGAATCATTTAGGTTGGAAAAGACCCTTAAGATCATCAAGTCCAACCGTTGACCTAACACTACCAAGTCCACCACTAAACCATGTCCCTAAGCACCACATCTACACGTCTTTTAAATACCTCCAGGGATGGGGACTCAACCACTTCCCTGGGCAGCCTGGTCCAATGCTTGACAAGCCTTTTGGCAAAGAAAGGGTTATTGATGATTTGATGAATCAAACTGCGGTGATTGCTGAGTGCTGGTGGTGTGAGCTGATGTGCAACCATGCAACGGGGATAACTCTGGAGCTTGTGGCTGGGCTGCATGAACCCTACTTCTGCGCCTGACAAGGGATGCCCAACAGGACCTCGGAGACACCCTGAATCACAATGATGATGTCTTTTTATTGCCTGGCTGTGTTTTCTAGACCAGATAAGGACATTTTAAAGCAATACCTGCTTAAAACTCCTGCCCCAGGGCGGCACCGCAACAGGCACTACCCTGGGGGCTTTGGGAGAGGGGTCGAGCCCATGTCCCGACTCGGCCCTGGAAGCCCCTGCCTGCGGTCATTGCTTCAGGGTGAAGTAAGCGTCCACTTGCGTGCGACACACAAAATGGAAAGCTTGCCTACGTCCCATCCCACCTGCTGCCTGCCCTGGCTGCTTGACTCAGCACGCTGTGAATATCACGGTGACACGGAGGCTGGAAATGCTGCTGGGAGCTGGAGAGACATGACGTGGCAGGCAGGAGGCTGAGCCACCCTGAGCCTCAGCCCACCATTTGTGGTCGGCTGCTGTGTATTTTCCATATGACCTCCCTGGTTTTCTGGAGGTCTGACTTAACCCCCCTGGAGAGGGGACAGGCAAGGGCAGGAGGGGGGGAAGCAGCCAAAAGGAGGGGACAGCCCCACACAGAAACCGTCTTCAGCTCCATCAGTAACCAGCAGCAATATCCTCCCCCAAACGGGTTTGGGCACCTCCTTTCTGCTGAAGTCCAGGGAGATTGGGCATTTTTCCAGCCATTTGTGGTGTCTCCCGTGGACTCACAGTCCACCCAATGTGCACAGGGATGGATGTGGCCATAGGGAGGTGGGGATGGCTCCTGCTCTCTCTTGTTGGGTAGCTTTGAATATATCCCACTGAGGGGTGGCAATGGGGACCCTGTCAGCCCTGTGTGTCCCCTTCCCCACCCTGATCCAGGCTATAGGTGACCACTCCTTGTTGACACCCATGATACCATCCCTTGGAGCGTGGCTCTGTCCTCTGCCCCGGTGAAGCAAATCCCTTGTGCCAAGGACCTCATGATGCCATGCTCAGAACCAGTGGTGGCCCAGCTAACAGTGTGTGACATCCACCCTGCTGCTTTCACTGTCCTCCTGGGGTGCAAAGAGCCCACTGGACTTTCCAGAGATGTTCATGGGGACAGGGGCAAGAGGGGATGAGCGCAGAGGATGTTACGGCTTCAAGGAGCCCTTCGTTTATTCTGGGCTTTTGGCATCTCTGCTTTGCTTTACGATGTGCAACTGGGGAGACCTTGCCACCTCCTGTCTAATCCTGGAGCCCTGTTTTAGGGCTGGTCCTAATCTCCAAAAGCCTCCAGGATTTACCCCAGCTGTCGGAGGCATCTTCTGTCTTCCCGCACCGACACATCAGCTGTCGTGTTGGGGAACGGCGCTGCCGAAGCTTTTCCCCATCCCACCTGGCAGGTCCTTGATGCTGCGATTTCCTAAACTGGCAGATCTGGGTGAATGAGTAGACCTGATGCTTTTGGGGTACAGCCATATTTATCTCTTTGCAATGCGGTCCTGTCAATAAGCTCAGCTATGACCATGATGCATCTTTTGGGGGGGGTTGAATAACAGTGGCATGAGGAGGATCTGATCCTTTAAGGAAGAAATGAGGCTCTCGTTATTTAGACCTATATTTTACCTGGAAGATAAATAAAGCAACATATCAATGGTGCAGTGGGCTGGAAATGCGGGTCAAAACCAATTTATAAAAAGTATCTGCTTCCTGTAGAGAAGAGATCTTTTCTCACTGGAAAACATGAATACCCAGTATTTCAGCTAAATCCTGAAATATTTGGAGTTTCAGGCAAAAAATGTGTTCATATTTAAATTATCACCAAAATTTTAATGTTCAACCCTCCCAGTTGCCTGCAGGAACAGCCAGCGCAGCCTACTTGGTGTGTTCGTCGTTTTCATGCCGAGGTGGAGGAATTGCACCAGTAGGCATTTCGTTTTGTTTCCGATGCCGGACTCATTTTAGCTCCCTCACCCCAAAGTCAGGGGGCTGAGACACCCCGCTCCCGTCCTTGTGGTGAAATGACTCCATGGGAGCAGTTTCCCCCTTCCCGTCGTGCATCCACAAGTGAAGCCATCGCGATGGGTAAAGAAACCTTCAGTTCCCAAGTCTGGTCGCTAAGGGAAACTTTGACTTTGGACTTGGGCAACCTGCCACGATGCCTTTGTCATCTACAGCAGGCAGTGTAGTGTTTCCATGCTTGAGTTTGCTCAACGTACGGCAGTCTTGCCGGCAATGTGCGAATAAACAAGATGCCAATATACTACGGTAACATGGCCCAGATAAGTCTGGATGATAAACCATGTTGATTCACTTGCTCTCAACCTATGAGTCATCCTGTGAGTCGACAGACAAAGCAGCATCTAAATGTCATCGAGCAGGTTGAAAAACTCAAGTTTTGTTCAAATTAAGAACTTCAAGCAAAATAATTTCATTGATGTTCTTTTCCTGGGTAAAGTGTTTAATTTTCAGCTCACCCAAATTGAAATAGGAGAGAAACCTGAGTGCTCATTTCCTTATGAACTAGAGTTTTGGTATTGATTTATTTTTTTTCAGAGCTCTTTAAATTGCTCTTCTTAACACATAATCAAAAGAAACACGCTTTTTGCAAAGCGTTTTGGTTTAGATTAGACATCATGATCGTCTTTGGGAAAGACACACAGAAGACTTCTGAGTGGAGTTGATAGTTGTGGAAGTCTAAAGGCAGCCACCTGTGAGCTGATGGAAAAAGTCATCAAGGCATGGGCCACGTGAATGCTGAGGGGTCAAGGAGGTGCCAAGATCATCCAAGACAGGATGAAATCCCTGTGGGTCAAGGTATGGAGAAACCAGAGCTTCTCCAATCCTCCTCTCTGGGTGCCATACCCACCGGGGAGCCAAAGGCAGCTGGAGAAGGACAGACAGTCTCCTCTAGCCCTACATCGCTGTGCTGGGGAGCAGGGCTGTCTTCTCTTTTGCCAGAGCAGCTGCAGAAAATTTTCTGGTTCATGACCCACTTGGCAAGTTTGAGCCACTCCAAGCTGCTCTGGGGAGCGGGAGGCACTGCCAGTACCCATCCATGGCCCATGGGCAGCAAAAACGGCCGGGAACCCCACGTCACCCTCTCCCGTCTCAGGGAGCTCATCCCTCAGGCATCCCAAAGGTATTTTGGGGAAGGAGGAGCCTTTATTAGTCATATTCCTTCTCACTGGTGAAAGTAATCGAGGAATATCTGGGTTATCATATAGTTTTGGAGGAAACATGCCCTCCCTGAGATACTGATACCATCTCTTGGTGTCCTGGCTTTGTCCTGCTGCCAAACGCTTTTTCTGAAATAACCAGGGGAGAAAAAATATCCCTCCCTGGCGCAGGAGGGTCGTGCTGCCAGGCTGCAGCCTCCAGGCAGGATCAGAGCCCGTGGAGGACCAGGTTTGCACTTGCGTTACCTGATCCCCATGTGACTTGTAAGGCTGGTGGCTGTGATGAGCTTTCTTCTCAGCTTACAGGAGGAGCAGAGCTAGTAGAAAGTGTGGAGCCTCCTTCGTGCTCTTTCTGGAGATCAGCAGTTGCACGTCTCGCTGTCTGTCTGTGTAGAGCACCATGGGCAGGGGTCCTTGGGGCGATGCCTCCATGCAACCATCAGTACTTGCCTGTTGCTGTCTTGCGGCCAGGAGCTGAGCCTGGTGTCTGGCCATGCCCAGCACCCTTGTGACACCCTGATGGACCAAAGAGCCAGCATTGCTGCCATGGCCTCCTCTCCCCATCCCTTCTTCCCACCTGGTCCATGGCTCCTGCTCCAGCTGGGATGCATCCCTCAGAGCCCTGTGGCTCTTTTTTGGGATATCACCATCCCTTTAAAGACCAGCCTGGCCAATAGGGTTTTGCTCTTTCTTGTCTCCCTCCCCTTCCTGGGTGACCACAGCTCCCCCCACCTGGAAAACCACCCCCTTGTTAGCGAAGCTGAGATCATCTGGCCCTGTCAGAGTACGTAGCTTCATGCTCTGGCTGTCTCAGAGATGCATCTTGATGCTGATGTCCATGTTTGGAGGTGTTTCCTGGGGACCACGAAACTGTGAGCCTTTGGACCAACACCCAGGAGAGCCGGGCTTGCTTGGCTCCTCCATAGCAGCATCCCTGGAGACAGGCAAGTAGCTGGGGAACAGGAGAAAACATTCTGTGAACCCAAATTTGAGGAAGGTTAAGGAATTAGACCATAGGTTACAGAGACATTTTTAGGAGCATCTCATGCATAGCATAGCAAGTGAGGGAAACAAGGACAGGCAGGGGGTGAGCGGGGTTATATCCTATAGGATATAACCCTAATGGGGTTTTCCTGGGTCAGTGGGGGGCTTTGGGGTGAATCTGAGTTTTGGGGATAACAGAAGGGTGGCAGATCACAAGTCCTGGGGTGACCAGACTCCATGGACAAGGTCCTGGTCGTATGGGCAGGGCAGAGGCTGGAGGACATGGTGCAGGGCTGGCCAGTGATTAATCTTCTCCAGGAATGTGGGTCAGGGGTGCGGGCAGCTGGCTTGGTCCAGATGATCCCAAGATTTGCCTTCCAACCTCAACAGTTCTGGGATTGAGGTGGAGGCTGGGGGAGGACATGGGGGAGCAGAGGGGTCTGGGGTTACAGTAGCGACTATGGGAGGACATGGGGGGGAGCAGGTGGGTTGGGAGGTCCATGCAGGATTAACAGGGAGGATTGGGGGGGTGTCTGGTGTTAATGCAGGGGCTGGGGGAAGGCATGTGGGGTGCAGGGTCAAT